AAGTTATGATAATAGTAATTCTGATTTTTTCCCCGTTTTTCCTTTGAGTAACTGCCAAGAATCTTACTTCACAGTCTGGGGACAGCAGAGAGTGTGTTCTGCAATTAAAAGTTAGGGAGTTTTTAATGAGAGCACCAAGGCTGATTCATAGTTCAAAGTTAGGCAGAAAGTTTCTTTTTCTTTCTTTCTTTTATTTTTTTTTTAATCAAAAGCAAATCATTCATTTTTATCTCAGACAAAAATATGATAAAGGCTAATTCGTTGGGCAGAAAGAAGGAATATAGGGAGTTACTGATGAAATTTAACTAAAAAAATTGGAGGTCTAATATTTTATTTCATTTCAAAAGTGTAATAAATCTTATAAAAGGCCTTATACAATTTCTCCTTGAAGGTATTGCAATGTGATAATGATGCTGTGCCCTTGCCAGCCAATTTCTTGATTTGTTCAGGTTATTCCAATAATATCTACATTTCACGGGAGAGTATTTACATTAAAATCTTCCCTGAGATTTGTCATGCCCTGTTGTCACCATGTTTTCTCCTGTGTCACCTTCAAGGACTGATAGGGCATGAAAATCTGTAGGAATAAACAGGACTTGAAATCCCCAGTGAAAGAAGCTGTGCCGCCCTGTGGGGAACTGAGCTCCTTCACTCCCACTGATGTCTTTAACACTCCAGGAGACATTTTGGGGAGGATACTCAGTGCCTAGAAGAATCAGGAGGTAATTGCCAATTTTAAGCTTATGTAGAGAACCATGTCTCAGGCCAAGACATGGGAAAGAAGAAGCAAACTGGCTGCAGAAAGTCATACACAAACATCACTTGTTCATTTTGTAGGAGTAGGTGTCCATTCAAAGGGAAAATTTTTCATTTCTAAAGACTTCTGCCTTATAATAATACATGGAAAAAGAAGCACAGCCATTCTCCCAGAAACACATATTCTCTTTAGCTAGCATGCTTGATCCCTAGAAATGGAAAGGCATACAGGGAATAAAAGTGTCTGTGTTTAATCAGATTAAATGGATAGCTCATTAGTTATTCCACATAATTGGAAACTTTCACAAACCGAAGGAATGGATGTCTAGTAGAATTTAGTTAAAACTGGGATTTTGTTGCTGAGACTGGGGCTAATAGGGAAATCTTAAAGACAGGTCTGGGACAGACCTGAGATGTTAAGAAGACAGTGACTGGAGATTACAGTGTAATTGATTAACCAGATTAACCAGACAGTTCAAATCAGAGACTGACAAGATGTTTGGAACATCCTTGAGACCTTAAATTTATAGAAAAATATTTTGAAACCAGAATATAGTTTGTGGGGGATAGTAGGATAGGTGTGTGGGTATGATAGGCTATGAAACTGTACAAACAGTTCCCTGAAGGGTTGGTTTTTTATGAATGTTTTGTATTTGGTTGACAGGATGTTTTATTCTGTTTCAGAATCTTTAAAATTATTTTACAGTTGAAAACAAAACCATTTCTGGGCATGTAGGAATTCCTTATTTCCTCAAATAATCTTATAAATTTACCATGCTTCCAAGATAGCAATAGAATACAGAAGGATGGAGTATGTGTTTAATTTGCATTTTCTATTTGTAATAGTGTAATGGATGTGCTAACTTTGCTTATATGTAATGGATGATAAATCACCCCCCTGTCTATCGCTGGGTAAGGATCTTCAACATCAGTCCTCATTTCAGCTGTTCTGTGGCCCACATGTAGCACTGGCCTCAGTAACATCTCTCACTGGCATCATTCCACATCATTGCACATTTGAGCATAACCTTACCCTATGTGTGCATGGAGAATGCAAGTGCATTTTTATGGTGTGTGCCAGAATCCAACAATAAGTAATTGCACAATCTTACCTGAAAATGTGACAAGACTAGCTACAGGCAAGGAAAGATATTGAGTAGAACCCTGTAATTTTTCCATTCTTAGCTTGCAGGCCAATTTCCCTTCTGCTCCTCATAAACTGTCTCTCTGCAAAGTGGCCAGTATGAGAAAGGAGGGACTCAATACTTTGTGGACAACATACCTCCCTACCCCAAAAACAAAAAAGGGTTGATGTTGTGATGTGGTGTCAGTATCAAATGTGAGTGCAGGTAAAGGGGCATGGAAGCTCAAATTGCCTTCTGCTGTCCAAACACGCACCTGGGTGCTATCTGTGCTGCTCAGCGATGTGGGTCCTGGAGCAGAACTATGAACATTAAACCCCCTGGAGTGCACATTCCTCTTTTTTTCCTGGACATCTGGACTCAGTGTGGCTTGATCCAGAACCATGTCAGACAGAGGTCCTTGCAAAGTCAGGTCCTGCAGCCTGAGCTTTGTACCAAAGTGCTGGCCTCACTCTAGACCCTGAGAACCAATTTTGAGGGTGGGTGGGAGGCTGAGCCACTTGAACCACACTCACTTCTTGATGCAGGTACCATACAAGATGGTATTTGAAAGTAGCTTATGGTCCAAAATTAGCAAATGCACAGCCCTGGCACTTCTCTGCTTGTCAAAAAATTCCCTCCTCTGGGCATTTCTTCAGACAGAACCAGTCTTTGCCAACTAGGCCATGTTACACATCCCAGCATTAGCATATTTTTTATTAAAACTTATGTTATTTTGTTCAATTATGACATTTTGCTTCATTCTTAGCCTGAAACGATATTTGAGATATCACCCCTATACTCTGTAATTATAAAGATATATCCTATGTATTGCACTGAAAAATTGTAAGAGCATACAGACTACTCAGGCATTCTATTCTTTGAGTACAGCATAGAGAATAATTATGGTTTCTCATATTCTCTGAGTAATTAATTTGAAGAATTTAATTATATTTTTCATATTAATTATTAATGTATTATTCACCCAACATAGTCAGTTCATAATTCATAGATGTATTATTCAAGTAATTTAGTTGATGAATTTCATAGTTTTGAATAAGTTATTCAATTTTTTTTTAATTATTCACTCAGCTCTAGGAATGTCTGTTGACGCTTGAATATCAACTATAGTACAGCAACTTTTTTTGCAGGGTCTTGTGAATACCTGATATTAAGTCCAAAAGCTAGCAAAATGCTGCCCAGTCCTTAAATGTTCTTTTATATAACGTTACTTTACAAATACATGGCATTTTATTCTGATCAACAAGTTCAAATTTGGAATCTTTTTACCTATACACATTTTAAGTTTAGTTTGTTATAGAACATTCTCATAAACTACAGGCCTTATTTGCTACATTTCACCCTCATTTAAACTTAGATGGAACAGAGTCCTCATAGTTAACATTTCACTGATGCTAGAATTACGCTGATGATGACAAATCCATCTCTTAGTCTATGAGTTTTGTCATTAGTTTTATGCCCAGATAAATCTGTTTATATCAGGAAACTTGTAATCATGGCAGAAAATAATAAGAAGAAAGTTTCTACAGTATGCTGCCAGTTCATCTGGACAATTTAGCTTAACCTAAACAGTAAGCATAAAAGTGGCGTAGAAAATTTCCAGGGAAAATATTGTGATCACATGATCATACTGAAAGCAGCACCTCTGGATGTGTATAGGCTAATAATTTTGTTCTGGCACACAAATAACACAAAACATCATTTATCAGATCTTTCCATATCTAGATTTTGTGATTATATCACATAACTGGTGAAAAAATGGAAAAGGTTGCACACACACATGCACACACACACACACATATATATCTGTGTCTGTGTCTGTGTAATCTTATATGGGTTCCCTTGTAGATAGAGTGCCTTGTAAGTAAGTATATAAAATAATGGTTAGTTTTGGAAAATAAAAAAAACAAGTGAAAAGCCCTGAGTAAAATGCATGTTATTCATTATGGTTCTGGGTCTATTATTCTACCAAATAAAGTGATTTCTATTAAATATTTTTATTTATGATGACACCTTTTCTTTTAAGAAGAGTTGGTCCTGTAGTCTAAAAAAGTTGCAATAACTGCAATTACATTCAAATTATTCTTGAAAACATTTTATTGGTAAATATGGCACTGTAGAACCGATCTTTGGAATACAATGCATAGTTTGAAATTTTCTTTCCTAAACAAACCTCAGAGAGATTTCTTTTTAACAGCTCTGAAAACAATATTGCCATTTTTTTCAAAAGAACCCTGTATTTACACTACACCGGTTCCAAGTTCTTTGTATATTCATGTTAGCACATTTACCATTTGTGTATTGCTGTTTCACACAACCTCGGTCTGTGTCAAATCCCAAACACAGAGGTATGTGCCAAATCTTTCACCAATTCCAGATCCATTGTTAGGATACAACAATCTAAAAGAAAAGTTGCCAGCTACAGGTTGCTTCATTCACTGAGGAAAGTATTTGCGTTTCAGGTTGTTACCTCGCTAGCAGGCAGTCCATATGGTGCTAAATCCTGTAAACTAACTATAACTAGGTATAAAATTCATAGGGAAAAATGTAATTTATCACAAGTGCACAGCTGGTGTCTGCTTCTAAGTAGTTGTTTCCTAATCTGATACCAAACTGTTCACAGCCCTGGTATATTATTGAGCTATAAAATCAATAACAAATACCATGTATGATTCCCTGAGAGATTAACTGTTTATTCCAGCTGTGAAGAACAAATGAAGGTTAAAGAAAAGTAGCTGCTTTAAGAAAGGTTTTCATAAAATAAAACGTCTTTTATAAATTAATTGATATTAATTGCAATAACAACATAGAATGGCTTGTTTGTTTTAATTATGCTTGTTTCTTAAAGAATCTGACTTTCAAGCTCAGATTTACATGCAGTTTGCTTTCCCTGTGCTCCCAAAAGTGCTTGATATGTAATTTACATTTCTTCTTTCCCCCCAAATGTTTCACAGTTTCTTTGCTCTTTTCTTTAATTGCAACTAATATCTCAGGGAGAACTGCCTGGGGCAGATTGAGCACAAACACGGAAAGCTGCAATGGTAAAAAAAGACACAGTGAGCGAAATTGTCATGCCCTTTCTTCCTGGCTCACAGCTGTGAAAACTGTGGCTGTTTTAATGTGTGCATGTGCAGTGGGAAGGAAGTGAGAGATCGGAGTCGTGGTGAGCAGCAGCAAGGGTGAGAAATGAGTGGGAAGGAGAGAAAGGGGGGAGCGAGCTGGCTGCGGGTGGGCAGAGGGACACGGGGCGGGCGAGTCCCAGCGACCTGGTGGGCGCCGGGGCAGAGATGCAGCCTGGAAATATTTCCTGCCGGCCTGTGAAAAGGCGATCAGGCATGAGAGGAAATGCAAGAATTTGCAGTATTCCTAAGGATTGACTGCTGGCAGCAACCAAAAGCCTAAATTTTTAAGCAAAATAGAGCTTTTTGCCTTAGATGCGGTAGAACCAAACTGAAAGGAGCAATTCCAAAGGGGGAAGAAACACCTTTTGAGTCAAATCCTTTGCTCTTTTATGTGCAAAGATATCTGATATAATCTTGCCTGCTTTTTACTTAACAGCTGGAAAAAAAGATGCTAGTACCATTTTAATAAACTTAAACATTCCTGCTGTGATCCTTAGATTTTTCAACCCTCTATATGACATTGCTTAGCCTCGTGCACTCACTGCTCTACCTCCTTTATTTCTGAGCTGGTTACAATTCATTTTTTTTGCATTGTATGAAGTTTGTAAAGGACTTTGCAATAAAAGACACTTGGGGTGAATTTACTTTAGCCTAATTCCATCAACTGCTGCTCCTTGTTTTGCTGAAACAAGATCAGAATTTGACCTCAAAACACCCCAGTGAGAGCAGTATTATTTATACTTATTTTGTAAAAGGATAAATTGAAACACTGAAACATTTTCAATTGAAATATTGAAACATTTAAGTGACTTGCCTGAAGGCATGAAGCTTCTCAGTGCCATTGCAGAGACTTGAATGCATGAATCCAGATGCCAGTGTCCTTGCCTTAAATGACAGATGAGTTCTGCAATCAGGATTGTGCTTAGGAAAAAAAAAAATCTACTAACACCCATGGGCTTATAAAACCAATTTAAGCCAGGAAAGAGTCAGTTCTCTGCCTTCTTTCCATGAGCAGAAAAGCAGTGCTGACTTTTTTCTCCTGCAAGTGTGACATTTGCTTATGGGATAGGGAAAATCCTCTTTGGTAATGGAAATGTAGGTTCTGCAGGCTTGGTGACTGTCCTGCAACAGAAAGCCAATTTTTCCCTCTCACCTCTATGAAGAGTACAGTTAAAAGGAAAAAAAAAAAAAAAAGTAAAGGAAAAAGAGAATTCCCAAAGAAAAATATGTGCCAAGTTTAATTTAATAATTTCCTTGTTTTACTCTATTTGTAATTTAATGCTTTAATTACAAAGTTTTATTATAACATTTTAATTGTTTATTCACCAATCTGAGACACTCCATGGAATTCCTTCACTGGGATCATTGCAGTAAAATTACAACACACAGGAGACAGATCAAGCTTGTAGCATTGGCAGTCTCGTGGGTGCTAAAATATCTTCAAAGTCAACACATTTGCTGATGGGCAATAAAAGAGAAGACAAAAAATAACTTCTCTAGTCCTCTGCTATTTTTAGTGCCTCTGTGGTTGTCTGTACACTTTTTTCATGTAGTCTGCTTTATCAGTCATGAAGATAACTGAGCTCAGCTCCAGCCTTGGTGGCATTATCTCAGGCTGTCATAGGAATACACTGAACTCTGGAGTGCTGCATGCCCATTGTGAATGATGGTCAGCAGAGACAGCACAATGGGGGTAATGCCATGTCTTTTACACTGCTTATTCCCTTTTCAGATGTAATGTCAGAAGTCTGATGCACTTTAAAGATTATGCTGAATTTTTTAACTGTTTTGGAGGAAGAAATTTTATGCAGTGGATACTGAGCAGAGCTGACAAAGAAATTATTTGATGTTCCTTTTAAGCCTGTAGAAAGTGTGGTCTCAGTGTAATTTCCTGGAATTTATTATTCACAATTATTCACTGTATTTTGTTTTGGCAAATCTTTTTAAGTTTGTTTTGATCACACACAGTCTTCCATGAATAATCAGCATTTCAGGCTGGAGCTGTTGTGATAGGTCAAAAGAGAAATATGGCACTGTCATGTTTGTGACTGCAAATGGAAGAAACCACTTCTAGTGCAGCATTTGCAAATGTGGATATAAAATTTGCCACCTGTAAATATTCATGTACATACACTTGCAACTATGCTCTGGGCTTGATCCAAAGCCACTAGAGGTAACAGAAATAATGAATATTCATGTTGGTAAAATTTAATTCCTAGATGGTTTGCTGAAAGCAAATGTAAAAGGAAAGCAATATAGACAAAAATGCATTAATGCCACTAAGTGTTCACAGGATAAAAGTCCTGCTTATTACATTCCAATCCTGGTGGGCTGTTTATATTTATGTATCAGTGAGACAGCACACATGCACACAAATATGATTACAGTCTTACTTTTAGGACTTTCTTTCCAAAACACAGAAAATTTGCTCCTTAACAAAGTGAAGTTAGGAAAAACCTAGAATTTCAAAATATGTGAATCTGGTCCAGCAGAAATGAAGATTTTTTTTTTTTTTTTCCATGTATAACAAGAAACCGAAAATGTTGGAAAGTATTATTTGGTTTATTACACTTTCCCACAAAGCTCAATGCATAATACAAGCAGGAGTTAGCAGCTTCACTGTGGGTAGTGATGCTTCCATTTTCTCTTAAAGCATGCACCTAATTTCCAACATATGTGACATTATACATTTCAGTCCTCCAAAGTGAGCAAGTGAGCAGAGCAGCACAATCAAAGAAGAGTGCATCTGAGATGTTTGGGTCAGCTGTTATTATTTTGTTAATTTTAAAATATTTTTTTCTCTAACAGAAAGGTTGAAATACAATTTAAAGAGTTAAATTCTTTTGGATAAGTCTGAATGGGCAAATGCATACCTAGAATGCTGAAATTTCTCTCTAAGGCATGGGCCAAGTTTGGTGATGCAGTCATTTGACTCTGACATTGGTTTTGCTTGATTTGTGTTCATCCAATGGAAAGTAACCATCTTCATGCAACACTGCTGTGACACAGCCTTCAGGTTCCAGCATCACAAGCAACCTGGAATCAAGTTAAGTTCTTTCATGAGAAATGAGACGCCAAGATAAAATATCACTCACACTAGACCACAGAGCTGTGTACTATACAGAAATCTATTACTCCTGTGATCAGGTAATAAACAGATTTGGTGCTTATAGCGCTACACATCCTTGTAATTTGCACAATATCAAGCTGAATGGACGGTTTCCCATGCTTACATCTGCATGTCTAGCAAAACATGACCATGTACAGTCAGGAGAACCTGTCAATTTGTAGTTCAAGTACATGGGCTCTATTGTCAGCTGGCATAAATATCCCACTGTCACTTACAAATAATAGTGTTGTCTTGGACTGAGCTCTTATTTCTTTATAGGCTGTTTAAAGGAAAGTAAAAAAAGTAACAGGACATAATTTCATATCCTTTCCTTTAATCAAAAATTCCAGAAGTTCTTAATGGTATGCTTCTATAAAAGGGAGGGTTTACCTGATGTAAAAGAAGAAACTGAATGCCAAAACCATCAAAAAATTCTATTGCAAAAGTGAACAACCTCCTACTGAAAGGAAAGGAAGCATCTATGAATGAGGAAAGAGATGCATAGGTATGAAACTTCTTCTGCCCAAGGCCTATTTTGTACCCAACACAGGGTATTTATTGTCTATAAATCAGACTTGATAACACTGAGCTTTGCACATGATCTTCCCTGTTTTGACTTCCAGACATGAAGAATAATGCCCAAATGTTGCCACAGAATTAGATGGTTGCAATTAGACAGTGACAGTAGCTCTGCAATTTTGGAGCAGTCTCCTCATTTGCATTCCAAATGTAGGGCTCTGGAAGTGCCTAGAGAAGAAAGCAGATTTTTTTCTTTCCCTGTCACTGACTCTACCACTAGCTTTGTAAACTGTGTGACAGCACATTTTTTAGGATATTTTGGTAGCTTCCCTTCCACCAGGTGTTGTTTTGCCTTGACAAATCTGAAGGTTAACACTGGGCAGGTGTGAAGCTGCAAGGGGAATAATTGCTGCAACTGACAGCAAGGAAAGTGGCTCTTCAGGATGGATGCTGATTCAAAAGAAGACTCTTGTATGAACCATGGACAATTGCATTGAACTGTAAATAACATGAAATGAATTCTTGATTTTCCCAAAGTCCTTGAAGTTTGACATGAGAGGAAGAGCTACCTGGTATTCTCAGTCTTCCATCTAGTTCAGAAATGCTTTTCCTCTCAAACTGGGATATAAAGTTGCAAATTCTCTCAATATGACATTTCCAAATAATTTCATTTCAGAAATACCCAAGCAGTCCCATGACTTAATTTAATTAAGAGGAGATAATTCCTTTTTGACTTTTTTTGACTTTTATAAGACCAGTTATGGATAATGAGGCTTTTGCTGGGTGTGATAAAGGTTCATAAAATCAAAAACCAAACCAGTTGCTTAGATCAGGCTTGTCAAAATGAAATATTTAAAAAATCTTGTGTAAAAAAAATAGTATCTGTATATTCCAGAAAATGTTTGAGGCAATTGAATCAGCATTCTCCAATGTTAAACCATTTTATCTATAAAAACAGTAGATCAGCTTCAAAAAATCCTGAAGAGAAAAACAATGCTTGTGCAATATTTTCAGAGGGCCTGAGAGATACAGTATGTCAAAATATAATATCACTGAAGCTGGTGGAAATTTTGTCAATTACTATAACATGACTCATGTTCTACCCTGTACTTCTGAAAATTCAACATTATCTATTTGGTGGACCAGAAAACAACACTTATATGTACATATAAGCTGAGGATCCTGTACACTGAAGTGCATCAGCTGGCTTTGTGAATACTGCAGTCCAAATGTATAAATTAAGCTTCATTATTTGTATTTTTATTCCATCATGATAAGCTATAAACTAAGTCTGATGAGAAATGCCCCTTTATGGCTACTCTGGATGCACAGTGGGTGTACCAGAATGAGATGCTGATTTTATTTGGATTTCTGCCCTTTTGTCCACAGGACTTCAGTTTTGCCATTGTTTGCCTTTGCTGCAAAGTTC